ACACACCTCTGCTGACCGTAACGTGAACATGACCGCTGTGGTCAGGAGATCGCCGCACGCTGACGTCGGAGCCTCGTCCATCTGTTCGCTCGTTTTAAGTGCTGCGCTAGCTGCCGGCCTCTCGTTAGGCCTGGGGGTGGGGAGGGGTTAGGGGGGGGCTTCTGTCCCCTTTTCCTTTTTCCGGCTCCCAGTGATCTTCAGCGATTGTGTGGCCTTGGCAGAGGCTCTGGGAGAGCCGCCTAAATTATAGATCAGCCTATTACAAATTCTTAGTCATTTTTCTCCCGTGTGCCTTTTTGGGCTGTGGCACACATTGCGGGTGGCACGCTGCCCTGTTTTTTATTTTTTATAATTCATGACTGTGACGTTTAATTCATGAGTGCTCCAATTAATGGCACTAGGGCGGGGCACCGTGCCAGCGTGACCCCTGACCCCTGAACTATCCAGGCTCGGTGAGCGTGGGCTCCGCTTCCTCTCTGCTTTAGATGGATCCACGCAGCCTCTCTCTCGGAGGCGTGCTCCAGCAAGATGGCTGCCCCGGTTATCCATGTCACCTCGGCCGGGAGAGGATGAGGCCGTTCCTTCCCACGTGTCCCTAGATCGTTGGACAGGCAGAGGACGCGGATGTGGGTGGGGGCGGGGGGCGGGGGGCAGGTCTCCTGGTAGCAGTGGTGTCGGCATGAGCGCCAGGTAGCGCTTAAGTAATGCCGGGCTTGGATCGGTGCCGGGCCTGGCTCCCACAGGCTGGGCCTGGCTGACTGAGGTTCAGTAACAGATTTTGGCAGGGGGGCTCGGGGGGGGGGGGGGGGGGGGGGGGTGAGTGCGATGATGATGATGATAATAATTATCCTGAATTCCAGAGCTGCGGCGTCAGCGGGAGCAGATCCTCGTCTGGATCTCCTCCAAGGTACCGAGGGGTGAAGCCAAAACATCTGTCTCCCCCCCCCCCACTCCTCCAGACCCCACATGACTGCCTAGTGAAGGCGGGACCAGCTGGAGGCCTGGCCAATTAGGCAAGGAACCAGCGGGTGATGGGCAGTTTGGGAGTCAGACTGGTTTAATATCTTGTGTGTAAACATTAGGGTCATGTGATGCTTTGTACTCATTTTAGTCCCGCCTTTCTACTGTGGCACCACACACACACACACACACACACACACACACACACACACCATCTCTACAGGTGGCCCTTAAAACCTGCTGATCCATAGACTGTCAGGCACACCTGAGCCCAGCTCAGTCCCAGGTGGTGTTTGGGGGGGTGGGGGGGGGGGCGTTTGTCTTGGAGTCGGCTGCTGGAAGACGAACCCCCCCCGCCCCGGGGCTTTTCAATCCCGGCATTTCCATGACTTTAACAGCCCACCCCATCCAGTGAGACGTAAAGGTTTGTGTCCCTGTGCCGCCCGTCTCCTGCGATCACTTTTATCTTCCTTAATATTTCCCGGCGTTAAAATGGAAAGTGCAGCCTGTCACGTGGCACCTGGGAACTGCCGTGCCCCTCGCCAGGACCAGGATCTCCATCAGGGGGTCAGTGGGGGGGGGGGGGGGGGGGGTTGATATGGAGGCGTATCTCTCAGGCAGATTAAATAAATTGTGGGGTATTTCTGGGATGAGAGAATGTTGCGGCAAATACCGTGCGGTCGTGCCGGTGCAGTCCGCTCAGGTGTGTTGTTCGTTTACGGTATTCGTTTGCCAAGCCGCGGTCCCAGCGCATGTTTCTCCTGCCGCGCTGCCCCCCTTTTTTTTTCCCACGTCTTATAAGCGGCGTCGACACGCGGCTTGAGGCGCCCGCTTGCTTAGACTTCTCCTTTAAAATCTTTTTTGTTTGTTTCCCCTTCCTATTTCCATCAGGTGGCTTCCATGGACTTCATGGCGATGAAGCGCTCACAGCTCTACGGGATGGGCGGCAACCCCTATTCGCAGCAGCAGCAGCAGGGCGGGGCCTATCCCAGCCAATCATACGGAACACCTGGCCCACACCGCTACCCAATGGGAATGCAGGGGCGGGGCCAGGTGGGCATGGTTGGCATGCAGTACCCCCAGCAGCAGGTATGTATGCCCCCTTTGCCTTGGGCGCCCCATCGCGCCGTGTCACCTTGGCGACAGGGTCGTCTGGCTCCTGGTATTCTGCAGCTGGCCATCGTGAGGGTTTTCGGATTCGCCGTGGCTTGTGGATGTTGAAATTAATGACTTCGCTGAAGGGGAGAGTTGCTCCTCTCAGGATGCTCGAGCCCTTCCTTGAAGTGCTGCGTGTTTGATTTTTTTTTTTAGAGCAGCCGGAATAAAGGTTTATACATCTGCCTCGGCGTCTGAAAGTGTCAGTTGAGCGCGTCGACATGCTGTGTGCGGATCTCCACCGGAACTCGCACTTTCTGATGTTTCATGTTTCATTAGAGATGGGATTTGAGGTGCTTTCGGCAGTAAATATTTATCCGGTGGAATCACCGTGCTCCGCGTGCCTCGCGGTTTGGAATCATAACAAATCAGCGACGAGCCCCTCTTGGGGGTTTTTGTTCATCACTGTTATGTCTGAAGCGGACTGAGGGCGGAGTCCTCTTCAGGTTCTGTCTGCTATTGGGTCGGTGTGAGGGAATTGCTTTTGGCCCTTCTGCCACATTCGCCGCCACCACTGCTGGCCCAATCGGAACTCGCCATTCCCGGTGTGAAACGTCCTTATGCCGTTTCTCTATTTTTAGGCCAAGGGCTGTTTGTTTGAGCTTGGTGTGTCTCCCAAGAGACTCTGGCAAGGCAAGGCCGCTGACATTACGGGGGCACATGGGGGGGGGGGGCAGTTTGGTGAGAGGGCTGGCAAAAAAAAACCAAATGTGAGTAACGTCTGCGGTGGCAGCTAGCGGAGTTGTTAGGAGCTGAGGCTGTGAGATTAAAACTGCCATTTCAAGTTCCGGCAAGTGCTGGCCAATGGGATGTAGCTGAAATCGCTCTAGTGAAGTATCTGGCTGCGTGGTAAGGGAGGAAAACCTCGGCTGAAACGATCCACTGTTTACCATCTGAACAAGTACAGCCTTCCATGAGATACATGGAAGCTAGGGGGTCACAGCACCAGGTCAGCCAGCATGCAGCGCCCCTGCAGTGGGGGGGTAAAAAAACCATGCTTAAGGGCTCACATACATTTGACGATTCTGCCAAGGCTCGAACCAGCAACCTTCTGATCACAGGCATGGAGGCTTAGCCCACTGAGCCACATAACCGCCCTCTGTAAACCGGCAGCAGACAATGCTTCGATAACACAAGCTTAATGCAGCCTGTCTATGCCCCGCCCTCTCCTTATGATTGGCAGCTCCTTCTCTGCATTATGATGTCATAATGTACCTTTTTGATCCCTGCCATTAATACGAGCCTCTCGTTTACATGGTTCCGCTTGGTTAAAGTGAAACCTGGGTTTTCCTGGGCGGGTCCATGTGGGCACTTTCTGGGGACCCCGGGCCGGCCGTGACGTCAGCGCTTATTGGGGAGATTAGAGAGAAATGGCTGAAACCACTGGAAAACGGTCACGGATTCCGCAGTCACCAAACGGCTGCCGTAAAAAATTAAAGAAATTAGTTGTTCTTCCCGTATGCGGCCATGGGAGATAATTATAACCTTCGAAGTTATCTGCCACTGACATTAAAGCGAAAGCACGGCCGCCATAATTGTGAGCTAACTAAAAGTAATAAGTTCATAATAAGAACGATGGCATATGTACTGTGGTTTGACGTGCTTGGATATGATGCGCTACATAATGAGGCGGACAAATGGAAATGAGTCGATTTACTCGTCGCTCCCTTGGAGACGGAGCAAGAGAAAGTAAGGGCCCTAAATGCTAATCCTGCCCATTATCTTCCAGAGGATGTTTGGGAATGCGCAGGGTGGAAGTGTGACGTTGTGGGTGTCCGCTGACCGATCCCGCCCCCTCACCCCATCAACCAATCGGCATCATCTGCCACGTGTCTGTGATCGAGGCATATGAGCACGGCAGGGATGCAGGCCTGCATCCTGCTCCCCCAGACCTGCACACAGGAAATGACCTCGACCATTAGCCCTCATTTATTTCTGGGGAAGACGAGGAAATGGAAAATTCAGATTCCGCAGCATGGAATCCATAGCTCGGTTCTGCCTTGGTTTTTAATTTAAAAAGGTCCTAGTTTTTAGTTAAGGGTCGGGGACCTCGCTTTAACAAGGACATGTACGTGCGGTGAGGGTTTGTTTGCCGGGTGGGGGGCAACTAGGCGGGACGTGACCTCCGGACGGGGTCGGCCTGTCTGTCGTTAAGTTACACCGCCTGCGGCGAATCCGTTTCTCCAGAAGGGACCCCCTGCCAGCGGGTTCTCAGCTTCCATCACCTGGATAAATGTCCTACCGGCATGTCTCTCTCTCTCGCCCGGCAGCTGACGAGAACGAATAGAATGAAAGAAGCGAATGGACCAGATGACAGGATTTTGGTTGTATCCCTTCCCCCCTCCCCCGTGCCCCCTCCGGCCCCAAAGTGTAACGAACTTGAAAGTAAAAGTCTGCCAATTCCACCGTAATTTCCTGTGATGTCAAAGTTGGCAGACGGAGAGGGGGAGAATTTGAGGGAGCCATTAGCGTGTGATGTGCGGAAGGGAGAGTGATTGCCTGCGAAATGAAAGGGGGGAGACGTGTCAACAAGGCGTGAGAAGCCATTACCGGCCCGCTTGCCGTCCCCGGCGCTTACTTAAGTTAATAGAAAGTAGTCATTAAATGTGGCAGCGAAGCCACGGACCCGGGTCCTGCTGCTACTGGGTTGCAGCCCCTTCCAGCTCTGACCAACTGGTTATATTGTCTGAATTGGAGGATTTTTTTTTGTTCATGAATTGCTGCAGAGTAACAAGTCGCATTGCATTTTATTTGTTTAGTGACGTTACACAGACCCTGGAGCCCGTCGGGGTTAAGGGCCTTGCTGAGGGGACCTAGCAGTAAAATCAGGATTTGAACCAGTGACCTTCTGATGAGGCACAGTGTCCTGAAATGTCTGGTTTGTGTTTCTGACTGTAGCCTGAGACCCGATTCACATTTTTCATGCTGTAGCTCGCTTGTGCGCGGTGAAAAAGCAGGCAGGTGTGCGTCGATTCAGCAAAGGCTGGGCAAGTGTCAGCGTGTGCGTATCAGACCAGTTCTTCCTGTTCTATTGGGAAAACTGGTCCAGTTGCGGAAGTGGAACCCGCCACCGCCTGACTCCTTTTGTCAAATAAACCCAACAAGGTGTTATTCTGAGGGCTGGTTTGGGGGCACGAAGCCCCTCCCCGCGGACCGAAGACGAGCCATGATAGGCTTTCCTGAAAAGGAGTTTCAAGTTTAGTCACACAATCAAACGCTGTACTGCTGTGTAGTGAACTGCTCTCCCACCTGCTACCTGGATTGTGCTGAAGGACGTGTGCAATGGAAAGGAAAACAAAATAGTATGAAAAGATAACTAAATAAAACCAGCAATCAAGATACAATGACTGCGATGTAGACGATGGGGGATAGCGGTGTACAGCAGCAGTAGGGATTCTCTGTGCAACTGCGGTGTTATAAAGATTGTGTTTGATTAAAATTCTTCTTAATGCAACTGAAATGGACGGAGCTGGACTTCTCAGTATGTGCAATGCTTAGTGTGTCTAGGTATGAAATGCTGCCCAAAACCAACTGGAAACCATTTTTTGACGTTTATTAAGCAGGTGCCACTATCTAATGTAAGGGACAGTTGAGAAGGCGGAGCTGACGAGTCCCTGGAGCTCAGGGGCCCAATGGTGACATCACTCTGCCAAATTCAGGATTTGATCTGGTGATCTTCTGAAGTTGCCATCCGGATTTTACGGGGTGGGGGTGGGGCGCTAACATTAAGTCGTGCTATCTGGCCGTTAGCATTTTCTGGCCTGCTCAGCTCCGGCATGTGCCGGTATTCTTGAAGGAAGTGGGCCATACGCTTTTAATTTCCTCACCATCCCTTTAAAGCGGGCATGTGTCAGAGTCCGGGCTGCAGATTGATTTATATATTTTTGTGGTTTCGGAGCCTGCCGTCACTTCCCGTGCAGCCGGGCCCACTGTGGGCGAATAAGCACGCGTGAACCGGAAATTTCTGCCCGTGGACGAGGGGTGCAGGGCGAAAAGAGCGGCATGAAAAATGGAAAACCTTTTTGCGAGCGATTAGCGATGGGCAATTCTCAGAAGGTGATTTCCAGTCAGTAAATTACCGGCTGATTCGGCACGCCAATCTGGGCTGAGCCGCTTTGTCTTGCATCAGTAATGTGCCTCTGACTTTCCTCCCGGGCTTTTTGATGAATCCAGCTCTCTCCAGCGTAATGAGAGGCTCAGCAAGCTAATCCCTGCGGTAAGGGCACAGCCGCTGTCACCGGAGCCAGGTTGCCCTCAATGCCCCTGCAACCCCCCCCCACAGACATACACAGACATGCACCGAAAACATGCCCCCACAACGCAGAACATTTCCATGAAATGCCCAGCCACTAGCGCCGCCCTTGTGGCCGGAGGTTCTCACATCACCTTTGTACATTTCTGTGAACGGGATGTGGTTAGGGTCAGAGCCAGGGCCCGCAGGCGTTCTCCGGTTCTGGATGTCCTGCCATTTCCATTGTGGCAGAAGAGCACAGGTCACCACATCCCGTTCTCCGCTAACGCACTTAGAAAGGACTGCGGTATCCGTTTATACGGTGTCGGGCATGTTTTCTTTGATTGCTTACCTGTTACACGAGTTTCTGCTACAGCGGAACTCATCCGTTCTTGTAAAATCCTGCATTATACAAAATCGTACAATACAAAGGATGGGGCTTGTGGAAATCTTTTCAAAAGAAATCACAGTATTTCTTCAGCACTGCAAAAACCATCCGAGACTCCAGGTAACTGAAGTTGATCGTAAGATCTCAAAATGAAAAAATACTACAGTAACACTCAGTAAGAGCGGCACGACAGGCCTGTAGACGCCTGGCGGCTGTATCGACTCTTGGCTGATTTCTGTCGGAATCTGACCTGCATCGTGGCTTTGGAATCGACGCAGCTGTATTGCAGACGCTTAGACAGGATTTCCAATTCCAGATGGTTCTTCATTACACCCTTGGATATTAGCACTTCCAAAACAAAGCATGTGGCCTAAATGACCTAATTGTGTATCAAGTGTCGAGGGTGAAATCCCAAATAAGCCATCATGAGGCCCACGCTATAAAGACATCTGTCCTCTATCTGCGTTTTGATACTATCCAGTATATCATTAGAAATTTTTGTTAAAACTGTTGAAATAACCTGAATGTTTGGGTTTGATTTGAGATGTTACCAGTTGGAGGTCTCGTCAAAGACCAAAGTCGTCATGCTTTTGATTTCAGCTTCCCCAGCTTCGCTCGTCTGCTTCCCTCGGACACTCGTCACAAACCGCCGTGGTCGTCGTCCCCAAGGTCAGGGCTGCCTGCCTTGTGGGGGCGCCGCGTATTCTGCCGACCCTCATTCAGTCAGGAGGAGGTGCCGTCTGCCGTTTCCTGTGTCTGCGTCTCATTGAAGCCGCACAACTTGCCATTGATGCCCCCTGCTTCCTGTCACTTAAAAACTGCTTGTTAAAGGCTGCGGGCTTCGGGCTGCATCAGACAAAGTGTTCTAAGCGACGAGGGTTTGTGTGACGCTTCTATGCAGCTTATCAAGTTCCCATCGGGGACACCCTTGTCCGCTAATGAGTAATTTTACCCGGCTAGCCAAAGGTGTCAGTAAGTGTGTGGCGTGTGATAAATACGGCGAGGTAAGCAGCGTAACTTATTGGTCGGAATCTCCAGTTCCTGGTCGGTTATTTGTTAAGCTGTCAGGAAGCCCTCCTACTTGACATGTGACTCGCCCATGCTAATTGGACTAGAGGCCTGTGAGTGAAAGGGTAGCCAAATGCGACCGTGTGTATTCCTGTCACGTCTGCTTGTGTTGTTTAATGACCCGGCTCCACTTCGGTTGGTCGACTCCATATGTCACTCAAATGGAGGCCGGTTCTTTTGGCACGTATAGGAGGCCATCCATGGTGCATAGAAATAATGGAAATTCCACTTTGTTCAGTGGTCCAGTTGAATTATGAAATCCACCCCCCCTCCTTTAAAAAAGAAAATGGAACTCGACCGTCTCCAATCAAGCAATATTGCTGTTCTGATTTCTGTATCTTTCCCCTCCAGTCTGTTGCTGACTTGATACTGTCCATCAGACAAAATATGGATGCCACACTTGTGTTGCTGGGCATTTTCTTGGAGAGCGCCGCCCTTGTGGCAGGGGCCTGGTGCCATCCGAGGGCCGGGTCATGGGGTTCACCACAGCCGTCGGCATAGACTTGTCCCTGAGGGGGCATCTGTGGGGCAAAGCCAAGTAAATAAAGACAGCTCGCCAATCCTGGTGCTCTGGGCCCGACCTGGGACACAGTCCAGCTTCCTAATTCCTAGTCCAGCTTTCGTAGTGACGGAGGTGACCCTCTGAGTCAGCGTGGTGTCACTTCTTCAGGAAGCCCCCCCCCCCTCCCCTTCGGAAAAACGCTTGAGTGCTGAAGCAGTGTGGCAATACCAGTGCGCAGTGTGCGCTTGCCACTGTCGCCCATGAGCGGAGAGTGCCGGTGAGAGTCCTTTGATTCAGCTTGTTTTAGATGTGAGGGCGACTCTGTAAGCAGTCTTCACTGGCCAGACCCTTTTGCGGGGGGGGGGGGCTGACAGTGGCCTTAACCAGCCTGAAGGCAAATTCTTTTTATGTGTTCACTGGGACGTGGAAAATATCTCTAGCTGTTGTGGGGGGTGGTTGTGTGGAAATACTTTTTAGAGGAATAAATAAAACCGAGGCAGGATAAACTTGTGCGCCCCCCCACGACCGAGCGCAGTAGTCCCGCTGCTTGCTGGGACGCCTGGTCCCCTGCATGTGTGTCTCAGTACCTCTGGGCAGTGTTTCAGTCCCCTGCATGTGTGTCTCAGTACCTCTGGGCAGTGTTTCAGTCCCCTGCATGTGTGTCTCAGTACCTCTGGGCAGTGTTTCAGTCCCCTGCGTCCTGGAAAGTCTCGCCCCTCCTGCTGCCTTTACGACGGTTTCTTCGCATCACATTTCTCAGAACTTAAGCAGGTTCCTGTCACTTGTGGCTCAGCGGATTAGGAGGCTGTGCCTGTGACCGGAAGGTCCAAGGTTCAAATCCCAGCATCAGCAGAGCGATTCCACCATTCAGGCCTCTGAGCGAAGACCCCTAACCCTCAGTCACTCCAGGGACGGGCTGACCTTGCGCAAATGAATGTCACTTTGGATATAAACGTTTATGAAAATAAATGTCGAAATGAGTGTCCATTAAAACTGTCTCCCTGTCATGGTTTGCCAGACCGTCTACTGGTTCTGACATACCCTGCGTGTGAGGCCATCAGCGTCCGTTTGTCTGGTGTTGGCGTCAAGCCTGAAGCCCTGGAAGGTCATTGTCTGGGCATATGGTGTCGTCTTAGACGTAATGACTCCTTCCTGAATTTGGTCAAACTTTTTGTGCTCTAGGCCTCATCAGCTTTATTCTCATCTGTCTTTAGGTGTGAAGGGGCCACAGTAGGACAGTGTTATCTGTGTTTTCTTCCAATAGAATGAAGACCCATTAGTGGTGGCTGAGTTCTGAGTGGGAGGGGTTTCTGTTCAGCTCTGACGTCTCTTTCAGCAGATGCCCCCCCAGTACGGACAGACGGGCATGGGCGGATACTGCCAACAGGGACAGCCCTCGTACTTCGGCCAGCCCCAGCAGCCCCCCTACGGGCACCCCCGTGCCCCACCCCAGCAGGTAAGTCCAGCCCCCACCTCCCTGTCTCTCTTCCCGCCCTGATGGGTTTTGATGGGATATCTGTCTGGTACACTGGAGCTCAAGGAGAGCGGCGCTCCCGCTTGCTCGAACCTGAAGCGCCCCGGCTGAGCCATCTGTGTATAAATATTCATCCGATGCTAAACGTGGCTGCTGGTCGCACCGTCGGTGCTGAACGCGGAGCTGAGGCTCTCCGGGGCAGCCTGAGCTAGCCACTTCGCGACAACCTCTGCCGTTCTCTCGGGGTTGCGGTCGCAGTCTGCACAGTCAAGTCATCCTCCGTAGTTGTCCTTGGGCCAACGGAGTTGGCGAAACTGTCCGGGGCCAAGGTTGGGTCTGTTTCCCCAGTGATGGCAGCAGAGAGTGGGCCCTGGCCTGTTCCTCTGGTCTGTCACCGGGCTGGACATTTGAAGGGGAGGGGTCGGGGAGGGGTCGGGGAGTCAGGAACCTCCTCTTAAAGACCCTGCTTAATCGCCCTCATTACAGCAACCCCATTACCCTGGACAGGGATTATGCAAATGGTCCTGTTTTATGGCTGGTCTTATTGTTTTACATGTCCTTGAGAGCACAGAGTGTGGGTAAACAAGCAGGCAAGCAAACAAGCATCCTTCCGAAGCCATGTTCAGCCACTTCATTTATGCATTTTTTTTGCTATGGTTGTTTAACACAGCATGTGTTTTCTGTCGCTTGGGACAGAGCGGGATCTGATTATTTCCAGTGACCTTTGCTGGCAGAGCCGGCGGCCTGGGTGAGTTTGGCCGGCCGCCCTGAGGGGCTCTGGCAGGCCAGGCACTGCCCCAGGAAGTTCAAAGGTCACAATTGGGCTCAAAGGCTTCTGGGAGATTGAGTCCCCCGGCAGCTATGGCCAGGCCAGAATGCTCTTGCTCTCCTCACCCCTCAAAGACCAAATGGCTCAATAAAATCACAGTGATAAGTTACTTAGGCCCTTGAAGGGGAACACAAAATTAATTGTGTTTGGGAAATGTACAAGGGTGGAAATGCTAGGTGTTTCATTCTGTCAGAATACTCTTTGGTGTAAACCTATGGGAGAGAAACCAGCAGTCATCTTGTAGTTGGTCGATTACTCATTGGTTATTTAGTGGAGAGCCCATTATGGTTTGACCTGTGGGGGCGGGACTTTGGGGCTGGTTACCAGGCATCTCCATGGTCAGGCTTCTGCACAGATGAACTTGCTTCAGCTGTCGGTATCACCTGCAGGTGGTGGTGGTTCGATTCCTTCATCATGGCAGCCTGCTGAGTGTGTGGTTTCCATGTGAGACTTAGCCACTGTTCCCCAGTCAGGTTTGAGAAGAGCCTATAAACTGCAGCCTGTGTGAGGAACCTGCCACGCAGCTGCAGAAGCATTATCCTCGAGATTGGGGTGGAATGTCTCTCCTGGCCCCCAGATGGGGGAAATCCTTGCGCTTTATGACCCTCCCTATGGTGAGATGGTGCACCAACACCGGAATTTTTTTCCTTGTTCTGTGGGAGGGACACATTCCGGTAATCTGCTCACAGTCCACGAGTATTACGGGAATCGGAGCCTGAAATTTCCCACAATTCTGTGCAGGGAGACCCCACCAACAACCAGAGGAAGTAAAGACGCTGACTGTCAAATCCCAGGGTCGACAGTGATCTCGCCTTTGGGCCCCTGAGCAACATTCTTACCCCCTAATAGCTACTGGGACCGGCTCACCCTGCATAGGATAACTCAAGCTTCAGAGAGTGGTTTTGGGGGCAGTGCTCCAGGTATCTGTACACGTTTCTCAGTTCGCCGTGGTTTTGCTGGTCGGGCTGTAATGGTACACGACGTGCGGTGGGGCCCCATCAAACGAATGACGGCATAATCACCCACATGGGTGGAGCCTAAATTCACAAGTAGATGATCAACATGCTAACATGCTAATTATGGCTGTGAGCTGGTTACAGCTAAAGCTGGTCGCAGTCAGTCGTAATCAACGGTTCGGGAACGTTTTTTTGGTTTCCCTATAAATTACAGCGACACTGGAGAGAGGGTGGTTAATAAGACCAAGACTGTGTGTGGACTCTGTTACACCGGAGCAAGGTTGGTCTCCTCTGTCGCATGTAAGAAGCTTTTGCTAAGAAGTTTAGGCCGGGCTGAAAAATAACTAGACTGTTGGGGTGTTTATTCCTGAAGAATTGCAGCCGTGCTTGATGGTAGTGAAAATCGCAATTTAGTTCATTATGGGTATGATGTTGTAGTTTTGTTTTTACATATTTTTTTTTTAACATTGCGCAAACAATCACATTGCCTTTATTTTACACTTGTCCTTAACTGTATTTGAGTTTGCAGTTTTAATAGTAATTTCGAAGCAAATTATTGTCCCTGCTGTACCGAAATTGCCCCTAATCGTTAATCCAAATCCAAGGTGTGTACCGAACTGTGAATTTAGCGTAACTCTCCCCCCACCACGACCTTCTCTTTCAGACAGTCCCTGGCATTCAAATCACACGAGGTTAATTAAAATGGCGTGGCGTTCTGTGGGCCCATCCTGGCTGCAATGACCTCCCCGTGTAGCAGCTTTTAATCCGGGGGTGGCAGTGAGGCCCCCCCCCCCCCTCCCTCCCAACGCTGGGTGGGAGAGGCAGGGCTGTTCAAAGTACAATGTCATTAATTGGTCAGCGTCTGAATATTAGTGAAGAGCTCTGTTAATTAACTGGATAATAAAAGTGGCCCAACGTGCTGGAGCAGGGCGGAGGGGGTGGTGTGTTGGGGGGGGGGGGGGTAAGCGGGAGTCGTCCGTGTGGAAGGTTCCGGCGTGGTAATTTGCAGCACCGGCTTTTAATTGCCGTGACCTTCTTAATAGCAAAGTTTATCGGCATGCTTGCAATGTCTGCCTGCATCCGGCAGCGGTCCAGGGGCCACGCAGATGGGGAGAGTCCTCGGCTTTCCTGGGCTGCTCTCAGGAGTGTTTAGGGAGAATGGCACCCTTCAGAATGTTCCGGAAGGGGCTTTGAGCGCTGCGTATTAGGCCTGCTTTTATCAAAGGCGGCTGTTTGTTTTTTCCATTTTTCTCCTCTGTTTGTGCAGGCGGATGTTTCCTTTGTTGGGATCCTCCGCTCGCAGGTGCAGCCGCTGAGTCTGTACTCGGCGGCTCCGTGTCCTTGACGTCCGCGGCGGAGCAGCAGAGCCGATTGGCCACGGGGATTCGCAGCGGCGCGGGCGTGTCTGATCAGCGCTGGCGGTGACGCCGCGTGTCTGTGCTGTCAGTGGGAGCCGCAGCTGGCTCCGCGTCGCCCCCCGTAGGCTGGAGGGCGCCTGTCTCCTCGCTCACTGACGCGGCTCTGCCGTGAATATGTATGTGTGCATCTCCAGCTCCTGTCCTTGTTATCTGTCATCTTTTGCGGAGATGTACATAGGGTTCGGTGTGTGTGTGTGTTTGTGTGTGTGGGGTTGGGGGGTGTTTTTGCATTGAGAGAGGGGCACAGATTCGGGTGGGGAGGTGGCAGAGGAGGCAGGAACAGAGTGACTCGCATGTTGTGCTTTTTTTAAATGCAGAATTTTCATCTCAGCCTTCATGATCCAAAAATACCTGTCGGTTTGGCGCGCTGAGCAGCGCCAGCCCCCGCCACATCCCCATTCCGTCTGTTTGACTTCCTCTCCTCTTTCCTGAGTGCCCTTGCCCCTCCCTCCCTCCTCCCACCAAATATGCCCCCCCCTCCCCCCCGCCGGGCACGAGAGAGCTGCCCAGATAAATCCGAACACCCCCTGTCCCCCCCCCTGCCCCCCCCCAGGGCTGCTGGGATGTGTGGGGCCGTGGCGCCTTTTTAAAGATACGCAATTAAGCTTAATTTTTAATGAATATTAATGGAATTAGTGGCAGATTTGGCGGAGATCTGCGTTTAAAGGTGAGAGAGCGACTAATTTGTTTGGTAGTCACGGAAGGGCCCTCTTGCAGGTCTACGTGGGGGGGGGGGGATTGGCATCACTGCAGAAAGGATGTGGGGAGTTCAAGGTCCATCTGAAGCCTTTGCTGCTGTCTAAGCCCCGCCCCCCCCAGCCCTGCCACATCATTCGTGATTACTATTCCTGCTCAGTATGACCAAATATTCCGTGGTGCCGTGTGCCGGCTGAATGTGATTTAATTCTGTCACATCCCTCACATCCCCTGTGTGCTTTAAACTATTTCCTTCAGCACCTGTTCCATTACGGTGCGCGGAAGGCTCTCAGACGTGCGCCGAGGGTGTGTAGGAGGGGGGTGTGTGCGTGCGTGCGCGCGTGATTCAGGATCGAGCTGGTCTGACACTCCCCCCCCCCCCGCACGGCAGACGAGCACAAGCCGCTGTTTCTTTAAAAAAAATAATAAAAAATGTGATTAAAAGCTTCGTTCCCTGATCGCCCTCTTTTTCCGACTGCTGTGCTTTTCAGCACCTGTGGGCAGGAATCGCTTCCCTCGCAGCGGCAGCCAAACCTGCTGCCGTCACCGTCGGCACGCCGGGCGGCGCGGCCCTCGGTGTGACCCCTCTGGTGTGGTGCTTCGCCGTCAAGGCATCGAGTCAATATTTAATAGGAAAAAGGTGCTGTAAAAGGTGTTTGCTTGTTTGTGTACACAGTTTAATAGAGAAGGAAGTGCTTATATGTTTGTTTTTTCAGAATTTGTTTAATCTCCCAGTAAATATTGGTGTGTGTGTGTGTGTGTGTCGTAATGTGTGTGAGAGATTGATCTGTCTGCCCCCTGTAAACTGAGGCCCCCTCTATCTGCCAGCGGTCGTACAGCCGCTTGGAAATACTCAGATAAATGCTTAGAAATCCGTTCGTCATCGTTTCACCACAGCAGTTTGCAGTTTTGATAAATAACAGTGATGATGTGTTAAAAATAAATCAAAGGGGGCGGGCAGGTGGGCGGCTGTGGGAGGGGGGTGTTTGGGGGAGGGGGGTGTTTGGGGGCGCCTTTTGGCTCTGTCCCGCTGCTGCCTTGTGCGAGTGGCTTATTTTATGGGGTTTATCTGATGCAGCCAAATTTCTGTGTCCCTCAGCTGGCTGCATCTGCACACTGTCCTTTAACCCCTGGCATGTCTGTGTGTGTGTGTGTGTGTGTGTGTGTGTGTGTGTGTGTGTGTGTGTGTGTATGTGAGAAATGCAAACTACTAACCCTTGCAGTCACAAATGGACTCTTAAGACTGGATTGGTTCTTCTTGTCTTCGCACGAATATTAATCGCTATGTGCTCATGATAAAACGTGAACGTATTTGCCTCCTCCTGCTTTAACTCTAATTGATATTGAATGCATTCAGTGGGGGGGGGGGGAAATCTGTAGGTGTATAAAAATTAGTTTTGGGCTGAAATTCCACATCTAATACCTGTTGTTACTAGGGAATGTCGTCAGTATGTTGTGGTTAGGATCAGAATATCGCTGCTTCTCCCCCATTAGCTACGTGGAGGTCTTCTCCTGCGGCTGCGGGAGAGCAGAATCCGCCTCCGCTGTCCGCTGACGTTTAGCGAGCGAGAAACGGAGCGAGCTGCAGACTGGCGTACACGAGCGAGCTTTCAGAAAAGGCCTTTATGTCTTCAGGATATAGCAGAAGCCGCTCCGTTTCGGTGTAATTAAGGACGAACAGTTTGGTGTCATTCTGCTGTGGGGGCCGCCGTGTGGCAGTGGGACACCAAAAGGCTCACCCAGGGTAGGTGGGCGTCTTTCCGAGCACCTCGAGCTTCCCGCTCGGGGGGGAAACGCTCAGCTCGGCTGCCTTTTATTCCGCTTTTAACCGGCCGACTTTAAATGCCATTCGGGGGGTGGGGGTTGGGGGGGGGGCGGTGAAGCCATTTCAGAGCCGTATGAAATCATTTCACGTGCGGCTGAATCGCGGCTTAATGTCAATGTTTGTTTTTTTTTTGTGTGTTGGAAAACAGCCCCCCCTGCCCACCTCACCCTGTCATTATTAACATTCTGAAACAGAACTCGCTGTTTTGTGTATTATGTGTGTCCATGTACACGCGTGTGTTTGGGGAGGGTGTTTTGTCATTTTTAATGTCAGGAATGTCATTTTTAAGCACATAATCCCAAACTATCTGTGACACCAATTTTGCTCTAAGTTTTGTTAGGGTGAGATTTGGAAATGTTTGTATCAGTAAGGAGAGAGGAGAGAGACAGAGTGTGTGTGTGTGTGTGTGTGTGTGTGTGTGTGTGTGTGTGTGTGTGTGTGTGTGTGTGTGTTACACTTACAGAGACAGAGCAGAGATTAAATATGGAAAAAGTTTTGACAGGTCAGATGAGCAGCCCATACACGTGGGTATATGCACACACACACGCACACGCACACACACACACACGCACAGTGGCCCTGCTGGACGGGAGGAGTGACACTGCAGACAAGCTGGGGTTTGGGCTCAGCCTGTGTCTGTTAGCAGAGGGCTGCCCGGTGTGTGTGATTCCCTGTGGGTTCGGGCCACGTGTTTGACACTCACCCACAGCACTGAGTGCTTTCAAAGGGCCCGGTCTCAGGCTCAATTGAAATAAGTGGCTCTGTGTGCTGGGCCGTCCAGACAATCGTTTTGTAATTGCCATCTGTTGGCTTCTACTCTGTGGTTAATATGTGTTGTCTTTGTACCAAGTGAAGATTTAAAGTGCTGGTTTCTAGTAACACACACATCAGGGTGTATCTTCTCTTTTTCCTTAAAGTACAGCAGCTCTGCTAGAAGTGGACCTTCTGCCATGTCTCTGCTTCTGCCGCATCTGACATCATTCAGCGCCTGGAGTTGCTGGCAGTGTCCGTGTTTCATTTAAGAGTCTATGCAGTTCAAAAGATTCACAGAATGACACGTCCATTGACTTGCAGCGGTCATGGAGTAAGGTCTGAAAAATGTCTGTGAGGGTGCCGGATGGGGGGGGGGAGGCTCTGCAGAACACATGCCGATCTGGGGCTGGGGCTGGTCTGTGTATCGAATTATGGGCCGCAGATCAGAAAAAATGTCTCTTTCGGGGTTTTCTTATGTTGTTAAATTGTGTTGAGCAGGCACCCTTGAGTGCTGTGCTTGAAAAGAAATCCTTCACCATAAATCTCAAGATGGCCTCAATCATGAATTCCTGAAGGGATTAAAAAAATTGTCTGAAGGAAGATTGGTTTTGAAAGAAAACCCTAATTTACTCTGCAGTGAAAGGGTCAGGGAGGAGATGTATCCTCCCATCTGCTTGTAATGGGAGGAATGTTCTGGCTTTTCCTTCTGTTGGGTTCTGACCCGGATCTCCTCTTTCCAGGAGGGGCAGCAGGAAGGCTATGGGAACCGGACCCAGCCCCCCATGGCCCCCGCAAAGTCGAACCACGAGGAGATGGGTGTGATCCAGCAGGAGAGACCCTCTAGCCTTCCTGTGAGTACAAGCCACTGATGCAGCCAGTGTGTGCGGCCTTGCTGATTGCTGCCTTCAGATTGGTCCCACCCTCTGCTTAGCTCTGCCCCCTGATTGGTCCCACCCTCAGCTTAGCTCTGCCCCCTGATTGGTCCCACCCTCAGCTTAGCCCTGCCCACTGATTGGCCCCACCCAGCTGACCCCACCCCTTGCTGGGCCCCGCCCACATCCTGTCTGACACATACACACACGACTCCTTCACACTGCAAAGTGAGTGGCACTCGATCCCTAACATGGTTCCAATGTTCCCGATTTGGATTGTTCTCTTTTGTTGGTTTTTTTTTCCCGTGTCGCTGTGTGTGGTGGAGTGGTGGGAAGGCAGGGTGGGTAGAAGTTTGGAGACAGCATGTGAGATTTGTGTTTCCAGGTAGCGGGGGGGAGGGGTGAGGGTTCGAGGCTGTAGTCTCCATGCTGCAGGGATCCTTACTCTGAATCGCTCTGTGCTGCAGTCCTCCTCTCACCCTCAGTCACGCTGCCCCACCAGCCATAAAATCCCAGATTGCTACCCGTGCCCTTTCTGCACCGTCTCCAAGTCCACCAATACCGGCGGCGCTCAAAGCCGCTCGTCACGGCTCTCGCTCTGGGCGCCTCGTCCGCGTCCTGTGGGGTCTCCAGACCCTCAGGCCACGCCACTCGCTCACTAAGAAACTCTCGCTGTTGGTCGCCTCTTTGGACTTAGGGCTGCCGCTGCATGGATGTGGTACCATGGGGTGGGGG